TCGAGCGGAGCCTTTTCTTCTTTATCACTTATTTTCCTCGGACACGGCCAACCAGTTTTTCACCCCATGTAGCTTAGATACTCTTCGTGATCACAGGAAAAAGCTGTTTAGGCCTCGGCCCTGCAACGGAGTCGTCACTGGTTCTTTTCCCATAGAGTAATTCCATTATGGAACAGCCTTCCGCAGGAGGTTATTGACGCACCTTCAAACAGTATGTTCAAACACACGCTTGGTCTTAAAAACGCAACCACCAACTTCAATTAGTTGCTCCCTCTCGATCTGTTCATCTATCTCTCCATCCACCGCGTTCTCGTCTTAAATGCATTTATCCTAACTGCATTGAGTAATATGTTTTGTTGATGTTGTATATTTTTATGCATGCAAAAACAAAACAAATACGAAACCGTATACAAAAAGAAAACCTTTTTGAAAACAAAGTGTCATAAATTGTTTTCGTATCTCTAAGAGTGCTTTATGTAAATTTTACTTCCGTGCATGTAAAATTGTGTTCACTATCCAGATGCTCATATTTGTGCACTGCCGGCAGATACTGCACCACACCCCTTCCCTCTTTCCTTTCAGGTTCTTCCTTTCAATTACCTGAATCCTCATTGACTCTCCCTCAATAGAGGGCCGCTCCCGTAAATTCTCGTCATCCGGCATTACACATCGATCGAAAACCGAAAAACCAGGATCCGGGACCATTGGGATCAGCCTCGAACCCATGAAATACTTCAAAACTTCAAGACAACGCTTAAAATTTATTTTAACGGGCCTCCTCATTACCCGCTCGGTATCATTGCGGTCTCGCTCCGTGATTTTCTCAATTGTTTGTCGTTCTGTAACTGGGACCTACAACGATTTCCTAAATCGCAAATATGTATTGATGTATATCTTTAACAGAAACGAAATTTCAACTGTCGTTCAACTGTTTTCATACGTGCTGAAAATTTGATCAGTCAAAGTCTAGACATTGCGATTCGTATTGAACGTTATTCGGATTCTCGTTAAATCTTGGAACCTTGATCAAATTACGTTCGGTGAACTCATCTACATTCTTCTTTGTCTGAAATATTTTGTTCCTAAATCCATCTTTCTTTAGTTTGCATATATCTGATTTCGTTATTGTCTGACTCTACTGGCTCAACTCCGTGGCTCATGCTAACCAGGTAGCAGTGTCCACTTTCTCAACCAATGTCATATCAATACACGGATCCAGCTTCAAAGCCGGATCTGTGGAACACAACCTACTTTGGTAGATACTTTTATAAGTATTAGGACTCATCTTTGCCTAACTCATATCCGTCTGATCGCGTCTTTATCCGGCTCGATTGGCTCACCTCCGTGGCACATGCT